CCCCCCCCCCCCCCCCCCCCAAATAAAAACACACATACACACACAATTGCTTAACCAAAATGAATCCATACCTAGGTGGTCGACACTGCCACCATAAGCCTGAGTTCTTACAACTTCCTCAAAAGCAAATGCATGATCTCCAGGAATGGAATACCAAGTTTTTGGAGAGCCTACGTGAAGAAAATTCATACTATGCAGCTCATGATCTTCAACATGCCAAGCAAACCAACTGAACAACATGCCAATGTAAACCATCGGAGAAGTAACACCTGGAATGTCATCAGGCATGTAACGCGTAAGCGATCCAGGTGACCGTGCAATTACTTGCAAGTTCCAAGGGCTATTCGAAAGCCTCCAGCCTGCCGTCCCTTCCATATTAATACATGAATCTGAACTCTTCCCTCTAGAGTTGTGTGAAGCATCCTCCGAGGAAACCGTGGAAGTAGACGGCTTCAACATCTCTGCACTTGTATTCAGATTATCCCTGGTGGAAGTGCCTCGACTATCCCGAGCGAGGGTCTCCGTCAAAGTTTCCATTTCCCCACTCTTAAGCTCAGAAGACCGTTCTTTACGATTATAATAGTTCCTCTTCCTCCTCCTCCTATGGAAATAACGAAATTTACCCTCTGGCTCTCCAAAAGCAGATCCCGGCACATCATTTGCATACTCCACATAAATAGGTTTCTCAGTAGCTGCCTTCCAAAACAATGATTCTACAACCAAAGGAGATGGCTCCTTAATCCCACCTAACACACTACGTGCGAAAACCTTCGACTTGGACTCAAATTGCTCCAATGTATAAGCCTCACCACTTTGCCATACTTGCTTGTGAACTCCAAACTGCGGATTTTGAACTACCCCCTTCGTTTTCCTAACACTCTGACCCAATTCCTGGTGTCTAGTCGTAAAAACTGCCCTAACCTCTCTCTCGTTTGCACCATCTGTAGAACCCAACTTGGATGAAGAACGGACATTTGAAGCATTTAAGTCACGGCTTAACTCGGAGGATCTCGAAAGAGATTTGTTCAAGTTACTAATGACATATTTCTTGGAAGGCTTAGGAAACGGAGGAATAATCTTACAAATCCCAAAAGCACTAGCTTCCTTCTCAATTTTAGATATGTAAGCAATCGGATCGGCAAATTCGGTATCAGTCGGCCGAAACTCCGGCGCCAAAGGCAACCCTTTGAGCCACTTGGGTATTTCGACACCACCCATTAGACACAGAAATCACGGTTCCGACAGCGGCCAGAGTCACCATAAGTTGTGGAAGAACACAAAAGGCTGCTGCTCGTAAATCTATTATGAACACCGACTACATTGAAGCTGATGGAAACCCTAAATTTGAAAAGAAAATACGAAAATCCGTTGTATCTGCAACGAAATTACCCAGCGTTAAACACAGAGGACCATGAAATTTAAACAGAGAAGGAAAATATCTTGCAAATTGAAGAAGAAAAACAAGCAACAGCACCTGTAACCGAAGGATAATGGATAAATCTCGCCTTCTAAAGAACCCCCAGCCAAATGAGAAAGGAGAAACGTAGACAAGTCACACGAGCGCCGTATTTACACTGCGCATGATAGTGATTTATAACATTTTGATACTAAAATGCGCATAGCTGTACATGTTTATTTGATTTTTTTTTTTTTTTTTTAATTCTAAGATTAAAGTATTAATTGTACCTTTTAAAAATTTTAAAATAAAATTTAAAAAAATACGTCTTTTTCGTTTTGAGTTTTTATTTAATTATAAATGTTTTGTATATTTATAAAAAAATCCTCATATTTTGATATTATAAATACTCAAAAATATAAATATTTGGTATCTTAAATTTAAAAAATCATTTAAAATCGTCAAATTTGTATTAAAGTGTCGTAAATACCCTTAGTTGTCTTCAAATAATTTATATATTAATTTAATAATTTAAATTAATGTATATTGTTTTTTTAATTTTTATAAACGATTTAGTATTAATTTTAATTTTAATATCATTTACTTGAATTTAATTTAAAAGAAGATAATTATATAGTTTATAGTTTTTATGGATTATATTTATACATAAAAGTTATATATTATACCATCTAAATAGATTTTATTTTTTTATTAAATCTAAGCTATTTTTCCTGAAAAAGAGACAACTTTCTCGGTTATTACAAATGGGGTGCTCGCCTCCTCGTTTGGGTAAAAACAGTCGAAAACAAGGATTAAATCTTTATTCAGCGGGTCCGACTCAAACGGGCGGGGACTCTTCATTTCCTTATAATGTCGGTTGTTCACTTTTAGTTAGGGGGGTAGTATGGGAATATTTATCACTCACAGAAATTATCCTCTTCGAGTTTCCCCTCGAGATTTTTAAAACGTGTCTTCTAGGGTGAGGTTTCTACACCTTTGTAAAGATTGTTTTGCTCCACCTCCTTCGGGGCCTAATGTCCTCGCTACCACTCGTTTCCCTTTTCAACTAACGTGGGATCTCACTATTAAGAATAATGATATGATATCATGTTAAGAATGAGAAACATAAGTGAGATTGAAAATTTGAGAAACATAGGTAGGATTGAAAGTCCCAGTATTGTGGGTTTATAATCAATTAATACTATCTTCATTGGTACGAGACCTTTTGGGGAAGCCCAAAGCAAAGCCATGAGAGTTTATGCTCAAAGTGGACAATATCATACCATCGTGGAGAGTCGTGTTCAACTAACATGGTATCAGAATCATGCCCTAAAACTTAGTCATGTCAAACAAAGGACTCCAAAAGAAAAAGGAGTCAAGGCTCCTCGAAGGCATAGTAAAAAATTACTAAGATTCCAAAAGAAAAAGGAGTCGAGCCTCGATTAAGGGGAGGCGTACTTTGTTCGAGGGAAAGTGTTTAATGAAAGTTCCATATCGACTAATTTAGGGAATGATCATGGGTTTATGATCAAGAAATATCATCTCCATTGGTAGGAGACATTTTGGGGAAGCCCAAAGTAAAGTTATGAAAGCTTATACTCAAAGTGGACAATATCATATCATTGTGGAGAGTCGTGTTCAACTAACCCTCATAATCCATCCCCTTCAGGGTCGAGCGTTATCGCTGACACTCGTTTCTCTCTCCAATCGACATGGGATTTCACATCGAACTTTTGACTTCTAAATCATATGTGCATGTCAATTATTGTCGAACTATGCTCGAAAACTCGAATTCATGGCCCATGAGGCTGATAATGAACGGTTTTGAAACTTTTGTTTCAATAACAAACAAACACAAGTTTAAGGTTTTTGTCTTGAAGCTGAATCTGTGTGCTGTAGCTCCAAGTTTTGTGTGTCGAAAACCACAGCAACGAAAATGACTTCTGGAGTGGCACTCTCTTCACAACCTCCTCCTGTACACCTCCCTTCTGCACAAGCCACCAATGCCTTCTTTTTCAACTCTAACACCACACTTTACAATGAAACTAGACACCTTTACGTTCTCTGACGAGCCTCGGTTCAATGTCGACTCCCATAATGAGCCAATCGACTATAATTGAGACACGGGTTTACTACATTTGATTGTCAAGAAAACTCGTAAGATTTCAATTCTGTTTAAGGGCTCGACTTTGGAAACGTATCTAGGCTTCACTTCAAGGTTTTAAAACGCGTGGTTTTCACACCCTTCTAAGGAATGTTTTGTTCTCCTCTCTAATGAATGTGAGATCTCACAATCTACCCTCCTTCAAGGTTCAGTGTCCTTACTGGCATATTGCCCAGGGTCTGGCTCTAATACCATTTGTAATAGCTTGAGCCCACCGCCACCAAATATTATCCTCTTTGGGCTTCCCCTTAAAGTTTTAAAACGTGTCCACTAGGGGGAGGTTTCCACATCTTTATAAGGAATGTTTCGTTCTCCTCTCCAACCGATATGGAATCTCACAATCTACCCTCATTAAGAACCTAACGTCCTTGCTGGCACACTGTCCAGTGTGGGAGGTTTCCCAACGTCTTTACTGGCACACTATCTGGTGTCTAGCTCTATACAATTTGTAACAGCTCAAGCCCACCACTAACAAATATTGTCTTTTTTGGATTTTCTCTTCCGGGCTTTCCCTCAAGGTTTTAAAACGCATCCACTAGGGAGAATTTTCCACACCTTATAAGAAATGTTTCGTTCTCCTCTCCAACCAATGTGGGGTCTCACAATCTACCCTCCTTGGGGACCCAACGTTCTTACTAGCACACCGCCCAGTGTCTGGCTCTATTATCATTTGTAACTGCCTAATCCCACCTGTAGCAAATATTGTCCTCTTTGTGCTTTCCCTTCTGGGTTTCTCCTCAAGTAATGTTTCCACACCCTTATAAGTAATGTTTCGTTCTCCTCTCCAACTGACAAGGGATCTCACAACTTTTAAGTAGGTATTACTCATTTCATTTACGAACCCAAACAATAACTCAACCGACTCATAATCGTTACCTACAACACCTTGAACTCAAACGAGTGTCTTGAAAAACGAGCCAAAGTTCATCATCCGTGTGGGAGATAAAAGAGAGTAATTTAAGTTATCCCTAAGACAAAGAGTATGCAAATTGCAATACCAACTACCAAACTGTCCCATTCCTGCTTCCTTCTGCTAATACCGATGTGGGACATAACCTTCAAACTTGGCTCTTTTACTAATTAAAACACATTGATATTCGACAAACAAAAAAACAAACTCCTTATCCACATAGCAGTCAAACCAAAGCATCACTCTCTCTTATCCTTCAACAACCATCCATCTATATCTATATCTATATCTATATATATCCATATACAGACCCGTCTCTAGGACACCCCTCTACGGTCGACGAATCGAGCACGATACCAATCCGAAACGGCGATGAAAGGAAAAACTACGAAAAAGTTAGCAAGGAAGTGCAAAAAGGCAGCAACTCAAGTTTGGCAATATGCAGTGCTGTGGTGCAGTGGTTGCAGGTGGGAAGTGATGTCAAGTTTTGATGAGTCAATAGCAATACCTGAAGATGTCCCAAAGGGCCATTTTGTTGTGTATGTGGGTGAGGAGTGCAGGAGATATGTTGTTGAGATAGCACTGTTAAAGCATCCTCTGTTTAAGACACTACTTGATTCTGCTGAGGAAGTGTTTGGATTTGACAATGCTTCAAAACTTTACTTACCTTGTAAGGAATGTGTTTTTGTTGGAATTCTTCAATGTATAGGTTCTTGATGTGAAATGGGTTGTGATTTAACGGATATTTGTTCGGTTCGAGACCTAGATTCTGATATCAAATCTGTTACGACCTATTTCAAGGCTTTGAGTCATATGTCGCATCGTGGGCTAACACAAAACTACTAAAAAATGTAATAAAAAATTTCTGTTTAAAACAATTGTAACAGCTCAAGCTTACCGCTAGCAGATATTGTCTGTTTTGGCCCGTCATGTATTATCGTCAATCTCACGGTTATTAAACGTGTCTTTTAAGGAGAGGTTTCAACACCCTTATAAAAAATGTTTCGTTCCCCTCTCCAACTGAAGTGGGATCCGATCCAAAAAATGGATTTATTCTTGTATCCTTGAATGGCATGTTGGTGGACATGACATGTTAGGAATGTAGTTAGTCCCCTTGAAAGTACTCGCGCCCTACGAGACAAAGGAACTAACGCTCGACTTACTGAAGAACACGAACATAAACTATCACCAAAACAAGAAACCGAGAGGGCAACTCGTCGTCGAGTTGCCATTCGGTCCTTTCAGAGAAGAAAGCAACCATTTTAGTAGCCTGTCGGATGGTCGATGTCGGAGTATGGCATGTCAAAATGAAAGTGATCTACATGACAGTTTTGTAGGCGGAGCAGGATTGTTGTCGGTCAACGTCCAAGGAGCTACAAATGTAGAGGGCAAACAACATAGTAATCCTTACGTTGTAACACACTTTATAGTTACTGTGGTAGCTATAGGATGAACTCGTCATCGTCGTCGTCGCCATCATCATCTAAATCGTTAGGACAGGTAGAGATTGATCTCGTGGATATCATGCACAATGAACGCATCTACCAGAAGTATCATCTACATAAATTTCATATTCTTAGTAGCCCTTACGTTACTCCGACTCTCCAATATTCATATCAAAATTCATAATATGGGTTTGTCACTTAATGTCTCGGCATTCCCTATTCTCTTACTTCTCCTACGATATGATCTCGTTACCTACTTACCAACACGGGTCATTTAAATCTTGAGCTTTTATGATTGAGTCACTAAAAAAGTAAGTGTATCGTTTTGGTATAACTAGTAAGCCTTACTTAACTATTATTGGATCACTCCTTCAAATATGGTATCGATTCATTCATGTACTCTTTATTTATTTCAGTGTCATGTGCTCTCCCTCGTTAAATAATTAAGAAAATAATAAAAAAAATAAAAGATTGGAAGAGCATTCATTTGGGCAAGTATGGGCCGGCCCATAGCATAAGAATCCAATGTAAAAGCCCAATGGCCTCTCCACGTATACACATTTCTAGAGACAGAATAGGACAAGAGATGGAACATGTGGGCCCCACGACATTATGATAGCTAGGTGTTTGACTTTAAGGAAAGCATTGGCTTATAGCTGTTTTTTTTTTTAAAAAAAAAAAATTAAAAAAAAATCTTTTACGTGCATTTTCAGAGAGAATATATGAGTTTTTCTTTAATTAATTTTTTAAAAGATAAAGTCTAAAAAGGAAAAAAAAAAAAGTTTTTAAAAAATCATTGGAATAATGCTCTTCCCTTTTTACCTCCTTTATTATCACAAATTCAACAATTAATTAATTATAATAATAATGGTTAATTATGTCCTCATCCCCATCATCAAACATTATGAACCCTAATTTATTAATAAAAAAAAACCATCACTTTTTATAATTAAATTTAATTTTAAAAATAATAATTAGGTCATTAAATTACGAAACATATTTAAATTATTTAAAAAAATGCATATAATATTTTTGTATTCCCGAGTCAAAATTTTATTAAAAAAAAAGTAAAATAACGAGCAAAAAAATTTATAAATATACGTACAAATCGTTAAAATAACTTCATTTAAATAAATATTTATTGAAAACATTAATAATTTTTTAAAATTATTAAAGCAAAGTTCTTTAAAAATTTTATTTTATATGTTCTAATGATAATTCTTTTGAATAGGGCATTGACTTTTGTTCATCACACAATAAATTAATTAATTTAAAGTTTTAATTAATGCATAAATAATATATTTAGTTTCTTAACGAGAGAATTAGTGTAAAATCATAGACCTCGACCCATTCCTTCAATCAAGCTACTTTAGAAACATGATAATGACGAGATCGAGAGTGAAAATCACAATTATGGTTAATATAATATTTTAATGTAATTAATCGATTTTATAATTATTAAATTTCTATATTTTTTAAAGTAAAAGAATTAAATTTAAACTCAATTAAGTAAACATAAAAATGAAGGCATGCAATTTAGTCATAATATTATGACAAGACATTTCTAATTTATTAAATGAAATTATTTTAAATCCTATCAATATCAACTTTTCAATCTAATTATGATTTAAAATCATAATTAAAAAAAATCTTATTTTTTTAAAAATATATATATATAATAATTCTAAAAAATGTTTGATATGTCTCTAATATAATTATTATTTTTATATTAATAGATTTATTATATATAATATTAAATTTTATGTCTAATAGGTATCTAAACTTTTAATATTATATCTAATAATAATAATATGATACAAAATTAAAAAATTTAATAACTAAAATTAAAAGTTTAGAAACTATTAAACCATCTTTAAAATTTAATTATCATATCAAAGAAATACATTAAACAATTTAAAAATTAAATAAACCGAACTAAAAATTAAAAGAGTAAAATTATAATTTTATTAATAAATTAGAAAAAACTAAACGTATAATTTAATCGATAAATTATAAAAGTAAATAAATTAAGACATATCTCAATAAAATCGATATATATATATATATATATATATATATATATATATATATATGATGTCTCAGAACAAACTATCCTCTATAAGGGTGTGGAAACTTTCCTCTAGTAGACGCGTTTTAAACTCTTGAGGGAAAGTCCGAAGGGAAAGCCCAAAAAAGACAATATCTGGTAGCTGTCATCCGGGTCGTTATTATATATATATATATATATATATATATATATATATATATATATATATATAATAAATAGCATTACAGGGAAACACCCAAGTGGGGGGCACCATGAGGGGAGAGGTATCATTATATATAAATGAATATTATAAGAGAATTTTAAGCTTTGTAGTTGACTTTCTCTTGAAAGTCTTTCCCATTTGTAGAGGTTGTAAAGAGGAATCCAATTCCCTTCTCTCTCTCTCTTAGGGTTTCAATCATATATTCTTTTGTTCTCGGGTCTCTACTCGTTTCATAGATCTCTCGATGTTATATAGGTCAGACCTAAAAATTTCTACGACTACGTTCTAGCTTGAAAATATAGGCATGTAGATGTGAAAAAAACCTTCGAATCTCAATTTTGTATCGATATAATAATCGTACTCGAAAAGAAAACTTAAAGGTCTCGACTTTATTTATATTATAAGCATAGTTTGAAGGGCACATTAGAAAAACGTAAAAATTCGAACTTTTTATATGCTTAATGTACCCAAAAGAGCAAATTAGAAATAAAAGCTTTAAAACTGTAACAGAAAATTATTTATACACAAACGGACACTGTTTGGTTCGTTTTGGTCTCGAAACAGTATATCTAGAAGAGAAAATTAGAAATAAGAACTTAAAAATCGTAGCTTTTCTATAAGATAAAAACAACCCGAATGAAAAAAATATTTATACAAGTACACCGCTAGCAGATATTATCTATTTCAGCTCGTTACATATCGTCGTTAGTCTTACAGTTTTAAAACACGTTTACTAGGGAGAGATTTTCACACTCTTATAGAAATGTTTCGTTTTCCTCTACAACCAATATGTGATCTCAAAATCCACCACTCTTAGGGGCCAGCGTCCTCGTTAGTATACCGTCCAATATCTGACTCTAATACCATTTGTAGCAAATATTGTCTGTTTCGACCCGTTACTTATCACCATCAGCCTCACGATTTTAAAATGCGTCTATTAGGGAGAGGTTTCTACATCTTTCTAAGAAATATTTCGTTCCCCTCTACAACCGATATGGGATCTCACATGCGTCATGCAATAAACATATTTAGATGGGTATTGTTCGGTTTCTTTTTTTCGTGCTCGGTTTTGGTCCCTTTATCGCGGGTTAGGTCATAGAGTAGGCTAAGGGGATGCATTTGGTTCCTTATTGATGTTGTTTTGTGGGGGAGAGGGAATAACTTTTAGGCCATGGCCAAAAAGATAGGGCATTTTTCTCCCTCTCCTTTAATTTTTTTTTTCTTTTTAAAAAGTTTGGCTTTTTGAAGGGTAAAGTTGAGTGGAAATATAGAATATTTTCCACTATATTTCCCTTTGCCCTCATACATATCCATTATTTCTCTCTCTCTTTCATACTTCCATTCATATATGATTCCCCAATAGACCAATGCTTCCACTATCCTGCTCAGTTGACATTACGAGAACGAGAATGAGTAGAAGTGTTCATATGACCCGATAATTCGATTAGCTTAAACCATAAAAATTGGGTTGTTTTCGGTTTAAGTTGATTCGTGGGTCAGCCCGACCAATTGGGAAATAGGGTTACAACTCAACCCTACCCTATTTTTGAAAAGATTAAAAATATTTAACGTTTGTAACTGATGTTAATGATACACGTTTGATTTGTAGTATTTGTTATTTGAATTTTATGAGATTTTGGTTATTAATGAAATTCTTGGACCGATCCCATCGTCTCCACCCCGTAGGAACTATGAGATCACCCCAAGGACGCCTTCGGTATCCAGGAGTCGCGGATCGACCATAGAACCCTGTTCAATAAGTGAAACACATTAGCTGTCCGCTATCCGGTTGGGCAGTTAAGGTCAGGGCAATCACTCATTCTTAAAACCAGCATTCTTAAGACCAAAGAGGCGGGCGGAAAAGGGGTAGTTCTCCTGTAGCTGGATTCTCCGGAACCACAAGAATCCTTAGTTAACCTGTATTATAGATAAATATGATTTTTTTAAATAATTAAAAAAATAATCTGATGAACCAACCCAAAAATATAGGTTTGAGCTGGGT